CTGGTAGAATACAAAACACGCGGGAGCCAGGCAGCAAGGCAAACATATTTACTTGTACGTAGAAGGGCACACACACACACACACACACACACACACACACACGGTCTGGAGAACACACAGAGCAGGCAGGCTGCTTGGCTTTATAATCCCTGAGGCACGTGACCTGTCCTTTGATCTTGATTGGAGCTCAGGTGTACAGTCTTTTGAGATTGTCTAATTCCAAGGGAGGGGTTGGCCTTTGCTATTTCATAATGGCAGCCCCCAGGGGAGCAGCAAGCCATGTGGCCAGCATGGCGGCTGCCAGGTCACGTAGTCCAAAATGGTGTCTGTCTAAACTGTTCTTTGACAGAAAAGATGACTTGTTTATTCTCACAACCCACTGACTATCTCCAGACCATCTCCCCTCCCACCCCCGCCCCAGGCACCCTCTGACCTGTTTTCCGTGCCTCTAATTTTGTCTTTCCTAAAATCCCTGTAATGGGAGTGCACAGGTACAGTGAACCTGGCCTCTTTCCCTGAGGGAAGCCGCCTATGGTCTTGACTAGTAGAGAGATGTGGACTGGGATCCTGCAAGGCTAGTGACCCTTGAGGTCTGGCAAAGGTCAGCACCGTTTAGTCCAGACATTGGTAGCTGAAGCAACGTCCCCACCAGACAGTCGTGTAAATCCTTCCTGATAAGATAGTCTGCCTGTTACTGGAAATTGCCTGCCTGAGGGCTAAAGGTGGATCCCAAATGGAATAAAAGGATTGCGAGGCCGGAGCCCTGACAGAGTCCTTCCTCTTGAGCTGGGCTCCCGCCTGGTCCCCCAACATCTCCAAATTATTATCTCTTGTCTGTCTTTCATTTGTGTGCGGCCCCTGTTCCGGAGCCTGAACCCGGAACCACGTGGGACGAGGGTCCTTCACGTTTCCCTTAGCAAATGCACCCGAGATTCTGCCACTTTGCTGCGTGTGTCAGAAGTTTCCTCCTTTTTCATCTCGGGGTAGTATTCATTGTGTGATGGGATCGCTATATAATGTTCACCCGCTCACCGGGGATGCGTCCAGCTCTCGGGGATTACCGTAATCAGCTTGCTTTCAATGTTTCTTGTGTGAACAAGAGTGTGCGCTTCGCTTAGGAATGGGATCGCTGTCTCGTATGATAAGTGATGTTTAATTTCATAGGAAACTGCCTAGCTGTTTCCCACCAGCACTGAGTGAGTGTCCCAGTGGCTCCAAATGTTTAGCAGCACCTGGTATTGTGAGTTATTTTTACAGTACTTTATTCTTTCTGAGCAATAGTGTATTGATTTGCTAGGGCTGCCATAACAAAGCCCTGAGTGGCTTAACCCACGGAAATATATTTTCTGACTGTTCTGGCAGCTGGAAGCCCACGATCGAGGTGCTGGCAGGGTTGGTTTATTCTGTGACCTCTGTCCACAGCCCAGAGACACCCATCTTCTCCGTGTCCTCCCCTGGTCTTCCCTCTGCGAGTGTCTGTGTCCTCGTTTCTTCCTCTTATAAGGACACTAGTCATATTGAATCAGGGTCCACCCTAAAGACCTCATTGTAACCTAATCACGTCTTTTAAGACCCCATCTCTAAATATGGTTACAGTTCGAGGTACTAGAGCTTAGGACTTTAACACATAAATATGTTAAAGGCTAACATAATTCAGCCCATGATGGATATGCAGTGGCAATTCATTGTGCTTTTTTTTTAAAAAATATATTTTATTGATTTTTTACAGATAGGAAGAGAGGGATAGAGAGTTAGAAACATCGATGAGAGAGAATCATCAACCAGCTGCCTCCTGCACACCCCCCACTGGGGGTGTGCCCGCAACCAAGGTACATGCCCTTGACCGGAATCGAACCTGGGACCCTTCAGTCCGCAGGCTGACGCTCTACCACCGAGCCAAACCGGTTTTGGCTCATTGTGCTTTAAATGTGTTTTTCTTGTGATGACCTGCCATCCATACATTTTCTTTGGTGAATTATCTTTTCAAATATTTTGCCTAATTTTAAATGTGTGTGTTTTTCTTACTGAATATTTTTTTACAGCCTGATTGAGGTGCCATAGACATATACTAAACTGTTCATATTAGTAAGTAAACAATTTGATAAATTGTGAGGAATATAGACCTGTGAAGCCATTACTGTTACAGAGTTCCCAAACAATCAAACAATGCAGGAGGCCGGGACCGGTTTGGCTCAGTGGATAGAGCGTCAGCCTGCGGACTGAAGGGTCCCGGGTTCGATTCCAGTCAAGGGCATGTACTGTGGTTGCGGACACATCCCCAGTGGGGGGTGTGCAGGAGGCAGCTGATCGATGATTCTCTCTCATCGATATTTCTAACTCTCCATCCCTCTCTCTTCCTCTCTGTGAAAAATCAATAAAAATATATTTAAAAAAAATAAAAGTTAAAAAAAAAAACAACAATGCAGGAGGAGAGTTTGGAGAAACTCACTTTATTCATTGTGCAATGGGCCTAGAGAAAATGAATTCAAATTCTAAGCAAGGCTACAAGCAGAACTTCCCTTTTTATTAAAGAGCCAGCCCTATGTGCATTTAGTGGTTATCGAGATGGTGGCCTTGAAAACAATACAGTTCTATCCAATTAAAAAATGCACCTGGCATGGCATTGAGATTATGGGCATATTTAGTCTCTGGCCTACAAGGTCATACAGCTAAGTTTATCTTCATCATTATTCAAACAGGCTAAAGCAGACTAGAAAGCAACATTTTAGAATAAGAGGCCATCTAAGAGCAGAAAATTCCAAACAGCAGTTTGTTACAAACAGGGGTTTTCCTTCCCATTATCACACACTCAATGGTGAAGACATCCATTGCCCAGACCCCTTTCTTGCCATCCCTCCCACCCACCTCCCCTTCTCTCCCCAAGCACCCATCAATCAGCTTTCTATTTCTAGAATTTTATATCAAGGGACTCAGACAATATGAATTATTTTTGGATGACTTTTATTTACCCATCACAAGGCATATGAAGCTCATTCATGCTATTCCATTTGGTTCTATTTTATTGCTGAGCAACAATCCCTTCGATGGGCCAATTATTTATCCATTCACCTTTTGGGGGCATTTTGTTTGTTTCCAGTTTGGGGCTATTATTAACAAAACCCTGGTGCACTGCTGGTGGGAATGCAGACTGGTGTTTTCATTCACTATGAAAAACAGTATGGAGTTTCCTCAAAAAAATGGAACTGCCATTTGACCCAGTGATCCCACTTCTGGGAATATATCCTAAGAATCCAGAAACACCATTCAGAAAGAATATATGCACCCCTATGTTCATAGCAGTGTTATTTACAATTACTAAGCATACCCATCAGTAGATGAGTGGATTAAAAAGCTGTGGTACAGCTGAAACCGGTTTGGCTCAATGGATAGAGCGTCGGCTTGGGGACTGAAAGGTCCCGGGTTCGATTCTGGTCAAGGGCATGTACCTTGGTTGCGGACATATCCCCAGTAGGGGGTGTGCAAGAGGCAGCTGATCGATGACTCTCTCTCATCGATGTTTCTAACTCTCTATCCCTCTCCCTTCCTCTCTGTACAAAATCAATAAAAAATATATTAAAAAAAAAAAAAAAAAAAAAGCTGTGGTACAGCCGAAACTGGTTTGGCTCAGTGGATAGAGCATTGGCCTGTGGACTGAAGAGTTCCAGGTCAGGGGAATGTACCTTGGTTTCGGGCACATCCCCAATGTGGTGTGTGCAGGAGGCAGCTGATCGATGTTTCTCTCTCATTGATGTTTCTAGCTCTCTATCCCTCTCTCTTCCTGTCTGTAAAAAGTCAATATATTAAAAAAACAAACAAACAAAAAAGCTATGGTACATTTCCACAAAAGAATACTATGTGCCTATAAAAAAGAAGGATCTTTTACCCTTTGTGACAGCATGGAGGGACCTGGAGAGTATTATGCTAGGTAAGTGAAATAAGCCAGTCAGAGAAAGACAAATAGCACAAGATCTCACTTATATGTGGAATCTAGTGAACAAAACAAAGTGATGAACAAAACAAGTCCAGGACATGGATGCATGGAACAGACTGACAGCTCTCAGAGGGAATGGGGTGGGGTGGGGGTGGGGGACTGTAAGAGATTAACCAAAGAACATATATGAATATATGCATAGCCCATGGACATAAACAATAGTGTGAGGACGGCCTTATGTGGGGCAGAGGGTGGGTGGAGGGGGGCAAAGGGGAAAATGGGGGACATCTGTAATACTGTCAACAATTTTTTTAAAAAGCTACAATGAACTTTTGTGTGCATTGCACTTCTCTTGGGCGAATACCCAAGAGTGGAATGCAGGGTCGTATGATAAGTGCACTTTTAACTTCTTAAGAAACTGCCCAACTGCCTTCCAAAGGGGCTACACTGTCGGCAGTGTATGAGTCCCAGTTGCTCCACATCCTCCCCAGCCCTTGGCAGGGTCAGTGTTATGGTTAGCCGTCCTCATGAGTGTGAAATGGTACCTCCCGCCCATTTTTCCGATGGTCACAGATGTTGAGTGTCTCTTTGTGTGCTTATTTCTATATTCTTCATGGCAAAGTGCCCATTCAAGTCCTTTGCCCATTTTAAAATTGGGCTGTTTTTATTTATTTATTTTTATTTGAGTGTTGAGAATTCTTTATATATTCCAGATATAATTCTTTATCAGATATATAATTTTCAAAGATTTCCTCCCAGTCTGTGGCTTGTCTTTTTCTATTAACAGAACCTTGCACAGACTCTTAATTGCAAATCCCAAAAGCTCCAATTAATCCCACCTATCTCTGAAGGACAATGATAATTATCTCCCCCTTTTCCCAAGAAGCAAATGGGCTTGGAAAAGGGGAGGCCCATGACCTGTTGGTGGCAGAGCAAAAATTTGAACCCAGACCTCACCCACAGCCACTATTTCCCACTGGCGATCAGGAGCTGCCACGAGCCTCCTTCCCCAGGAAACTCTGAGCATCTCTGAGAAAAAATCAGGAATGAATCACACAAGCCAACAGGATTCTCTCACAACAGATTTATTTGCTGAACCTTCATGCTGAGCCTTGATGGACATGCAAGAGGGTGAATTCAGGGCCTTGCAGTCTTAGGACCCGTCCAGCTCCCAGGTGTCACCAGATCAAGGCACTTTCCCAGCAGCTGGGCAACACCTGGGACCCCAATAACCCCAAGACAACCTTGAAGCAGCTGCAGGCTAATGCCCTGAGCACACTCTGAGCACCCATGTGCAGAGGGCACCCTCTGGCTGGCCTGAGCCCAAACTCCCACCTGCGAATGGCCATACTCAATCTACCCAGCTCTCTCAGACCTGGTGACCTAGGATTAGATGAAGGCAGCTGGGAGGGGCCTTCAGCTACCATCCTCCTCATTCACCCAGAAGCAAGTCCCAGCCTGCCCAGCAGCAGCGCGAGGCTTGGCAGAGTAGGCGGAAACATGTTTGTTGAGTGACTGAATGACCAACAATGGGCCGGCATGAGGAAGGTCTGATGCTTCCAGGGCTCAGCCAGCTGGATGTCTTTGGTTTGGGGGTAGCCCGAAGCCAAAGGTCAGAACAAGCCTTTCCCACCCTCCCACATCCTCAAGTCCGGCCCAGATGTGTCTGCTCAAGGCCTCCTTCCTGCCAGGTACCTTGTGGGGATATCCACCCCACAGACACAAACGATCTAAAGCACAAAGCAGTTCTCAAGCACAGGGAACCCCCGCCACGGCCCCCCTCTGACTGCACGATGCTTCTGAGCACGGAAGGCTGGCTCACGTCCAGCCTCACATCAGCTCTTGTGCAGAGCAGGGCCAGGGGCCCCCATTCCACAGATGGGGAGCGCAAGGCTCAGAGAAGGAGGCCCCTCGCCCCGGGATGCCCAGGAGGAGTCAGCAAGATGTGGCAATCACAGCAGCTGTCTCACAGAAGGTACTCAGGAATCGTCCGTCAAATAAATGTCTCAATGATGCTTGAAATACAGTCAAAACATAATTTTAGAAGGAAATAAGAGAGCCAGGAACATGACTGCCAGTGTTTCTGGAGCCACTCCATGATTCTGTGCCTCACTCCCCCTCCCCCCAAATCTGGCTCCACAGGGGTTCCACAGAGAGAAACCCCATTCCTACAAACGCCCTTTACCCCATATCTCATCTAACCCTTCCCAGCAGCCCCAGAGGGTGGGCTAAGGGCCCCAGTTTGCGGACAGGGAAGGTGAGGCCTGGAGAGGGGACAAATGAGCCCAGGACACCTCCCCCGCCCAGGACTCTGAAGGTTCTGGGTCTGGGTCTTCTCCCCTTGGGCTACTGCACTAATCTGCCTTCTTGGTTTTCTTCTTCCTGGAGCCCTCACTCAGCTCCTCCTTGGACTTGGCGGCCATGGCGGCGTGCGGGGAGCCGGGCCCACTGCCACCGTGGGCCCCTCCATGGGCCCCACCGTGGTTGTCGTGGTGATGGTCACCCGCCAAGGCCGTCCCAAACAGCACGGGGCAGACATAGCCCTCCAGAACATCGAAAGGGGAGCTGTGGGAGTGGGTGGCTGTCAGGAACACCTGAGGAGGGGTGGCAGGGGGGCAGGGGACAGCAGAGACAGAGAGAGATGGAGAGAGAAAGCCAAGGGGGTGGGGGAGAGAAGATGAGCCAGATCAAGGTCAGAGGTGGGCCACGCCCAGCCCTCTGGCTGCATAACCCCTCACCCTCAGGAGGGTGACCAACTGTCCGGGGCTGAGGAACTTTTGGTGCTAAAATAAGGTGACCAGCCAAGATCGGTTTGGCTCAATGGATAGAGCGTCGGCTTGGGGACTGAAAGGTCCCGGGTTCAATTCCGGTCAAGGGCATGTGCCTTGGTTGCGGGCATATCCCCAGTGGGGGGTGTGCAGGAGGCAGCTGATCGATGGCTCTCTCTCATCGATGTTTCTAACTCTCTCTCTCCCTTCCTCTCTGTACAAAAATCAATAAAATATATATTTAAAAAAAATAATAAAAAAATAAGGTGACCAGACCTCCCGCTTTTGGCGGGACGGTCCCGATTTTTAACCATTTGTCCCGCATCCCACGGCATTTTTAAAAAGTCCAAAATATTTAAAAGATTCTTTTCAAAAATCGGGACTTTCCAAAAATCGGAATGTGGGACACATTGTTAGAAATCAAGACTGTCCAAAAGCGGGATGTCTGGTCACCTTATGCTAAAACCAAGACAATGCTGGGCTCCGGGGACAGCTGGTCCCTCTCTCCCCAGGACTCCCACACCCAGGCTCAGGGCGGAGGCTCCCCAGCCTGGAGTCACTGATTCTCTTTTGAGGGCTCAGGCCTTTGTACCTCCATACCAGCTCCACAGGGAGGGAGGAGAATGTGGCCCTTCAAAACTCCTCCTGCAGGGTGGGGAGACCCCAACTCAAGGCCTGATGATCAGACCAGCACCATTCTTGGTGTAGCCCAGCCTCCTGAGGGTATCTTCCCTGAGGGTACCGGTCCCTCTGCTCTCCACACCCCTGCACACTCCTGTCTCCCTCACTTTTCCTAGGCTGGCCTTCTACTGGGAGAGACTTGTTCCCTCACTCCGAGCCCACCTGCTGGCTCTTCTCAGACCCCCCTCCATGCACAGACCTATGGGCAAGGTCCCGGCCTCCATCCCCACTTAGGGTTTTCCTTTCTTGGACAGGAAAGGGCAGGTGGGTGTGGGTCAGGACCGGAAGGCTTACCTTACAGGACACCATGAACATGGTGAAGATAAAGATGAGACTGGCTTTGGACACCGGGAGCCAGCGGGTCTGCTGGAGGGTGAAGAGGATAGCTCCATACAGGCTGGCCTTGGTGGGGCTGGAGGGGACAGCCATGGTTACTGGGAGGCATGGCCTGGCTCAGGCCTTTGGATCTCTGCCCCAGACCCCCTCTTTACCTGTCCCTAGACGGCCCCAGCTCCCCTTGGCTGAGTGTGAAATGGCGCTGAGGAGGTGGTGTCTCTGTGCAGTAAAGGGTTAACTTGACTCAGAGAGCATCTGGCCTTTGTCTCTGGAGCCTGGGGGGTTTCCTTGGGGACTTTGGGTCACACCAGAGAGTAAGGGTGTGATTTCGGTGGGGATCTTGGGTCATGTGGTATCAGCTCAACTTCTAGGGGAGCTGGAGGTTGAGGTTGGACATGCAGCTCAAGGTCAAAGGTAGGCCATGTCTGGGTCACGGAGCCCCAGTAAATCCCGGGACACGAGGTTGGGAAGTTTGCTGTGACTATTCGGTGCACAGTCACACAGGCGCCGTCCACATGGCTCCGCAGAGAGGGACAGCCAGAGGCTCAGCCCGGTCTCCCCTGGGTGCTGCCCCACGTGCACCTTAGCTTTGCTCGTTTTCACCTGTATCCTGTAACAAACTGTCACCCTGAGCAAAAGGGCTTTGCCGAGTTCTGTGAGTCCCAGCGCATCATCAAACCCAAGGGTGGTATCAGGGACCCCCAAACAGCACACTCCCCAGGATGTGGGTTACAACAAACCCTTTTCTTAGCTTTCTTTTTCTTCCTGGCAGGCCAGGCTTCTCAGATTTTAACTTGTTGTAAGAGACAGACCCACGACTTCTGCTCCTGATGTCTGCCACTCATTGCCTGTGCCTCACGATGATCTGGCCAAAGCACTCACCGGGAGCCAGGGCCAGGGGTTGTGTCTGTGATTCCATGGAATCCTCCCCTCAGCTGATGAGAATCCGAGAGGGGAAGCCACTTGCCTGCTTAGTAGCAGGTGATGCAACCATCTGGGCCCTATTTCTCTGTCAGGGAACTGAGGCGGGGGAACAGATTTCTCGTGGAGATAAAACGAGATAAAGCCACATTCTCCAAAGTGTAAAACAACAGGCAATTTCCATTGGCCTCTGGGTAAGCTTTTTAGTTTTGTCATATTTTAATAGCTATAGTCTTACTTATTGTAGATTGGGAGAAAATTTAATTAGCCTGACCCTGTGAGGTCTTTTCAAAAAATGCATTAGGCCAATGCAGTGTGAATTCTGGGGTGGGTCCTGGATGCTGCAGGCTGGCCCTGCCCCCCATTCCCCACGGAGCTCCAGCCGCATTCCCACACTCCATGCCCCACGCTCCCCACCCGCCTGTGCACGCCTACCCTGCAGAGCCAGGCAGAATTGTTTTACTGACTTGGCAGAAGTGAAGGCCTCTGAATCAGAGGCTACTTTTCTTGCCAGAAAACTCCTATTCACTCTTCAGAACCCAAATCGAATATCTGATTTCCCTGCATCTCTGCCTGCCCCTGTCCCCTAGGCAGAGTTGTGGTTCCCTCTCCAGGTAGCCCCAGACATGTCCTCAGGAAGCTTTTAGAAGGCAGAATCAGCAGCTAGACTTCCAAGCTACCAGGAGTATCCAATCCAGGGTCAGGTCCAGGGGGCACAGGAGGAACGGGCGGGGAGGACGGGGTACTCACAAGGACATGTGCAAGATCTCGTTGGCCTCTGGTTTCCAGACCCCTCGGAGCAGCTGCTCAAAGTTGGACATGAGGGCAACCCCAGAGCCTGCGAAACAGGGTGCTTCTGAGCGAACCCGTCGCCCCAGCTTCCTTCTTGGCTGCCTTCCCCAGGAAGCAGGCTCTCCGCTCCCGGAGTCCTCAGTTGCAGGTGAGGAACATGCTCAGAGCGGGCAGAGTCGTGTGGAAGGTCACACAGCAGCACATTTGGAACAAAACAAGCATGAAGGAATCGAGCTAATACCCCACCTGAAAGGCTTGGACCCATCTGGGCCATCTGCCCTGAGGCTTCCAATCCAGGACCCTAAGCTGCGCAGGAGGCTTCCAGGGGCCCCCTTCACAGAGCCTCTCTCCTCAGGACCCTGACTCTCCATCTTTCTCAAACCACGTGCCCCCGGGGAGGCACGCTACATCCCCGGGGAATTAGTACTGGCTTCGTGGAGACACAATGGTTACATTTCCAGGACAAATACACTCTCCTAACCGGTTTGGCTCAGTGGATAGAGCATCGGCCTGTGGACTGAAGGGTCCCAGGTTTGATTCCGATCAAGGGCATGTATTATACCATGGTTGCGGCACATCCCCAGTAGGAAATGTGTGGGAGGCAGCTGATGGATGTTTCTCTATATATTTTTCTAACCCTCTCCCCTCTCCCTTCCTCTCTGAAAAAAATATCAATAAAATATACTTTTTAAAAAAATCCTCTCCAGGAGTGGCTGTGAGCTGGGGTTCCTGACCTGCACCTCTGCACCAGGGGCTCACAACTGATGTGGCTTTGTCCCGGAGGAGGCATTTGGCCATGTCTGGATGCATTTTTGGTTGTCATAACTGGGGAGGGGGTGCTATTGGTGGGTGGGGCCCAGGGGTGCTGCTCAGCCCCTGGCCATTCATAGGACGCCCCCACCACAGAGAATGACCCAGCACCAAATGTCAGCAGTGCCACCACTGAGAAACCCTGCTCTGGAGATCAGCTCTTTCATCCTTGTCCGATTTACCTTTGACAGTTCAATTTCTGGAAGAATCTTCTTATTTGCTCTAAAGGTGTGGGCTAATGGGGAGCTTGGACCCCTGCAGCAGTCCTAATACCCCTCAGCCTGGCTGCCCAACATGTGCCATTGGACCAGGGTTCTCAACTGGGTGGTTTTCGGTTGTCATCATTATGGCCTGTTTACCTTTGACCCAGCCAGTGGCAATCATGACGAACCACCCGTGGTGGTAGTGGTGATGGGCGTGGTGGATACCCACGGCGATCTTTCGGACTCTCACCACCTCCTTCATGGCCACGAAGATGAGTTTCACGGGCAGGAAGCAGACACACTTGTAAAAGAGGTCCAGGGGACAGAAGAAAATCAGGTACCTTCGGGGAGAGAATGCCACGCATCAGGGGAGAGATTCCGGGGGCCTTGGGAGGTGAGGTTGTGTCCTTCTTGAGTGCCCGGCTCAGGACACAGCTGAGCAACAGAGCAGCGCCTGCAGGGCCACTGTGGAGGTTGTGCTGTTGGATCCCAGGCCCTCCCACCTCTCACCTCTCTGGTGAATGGGTCAACCGGGCCCTCCAGCTATGCTCTCCCACCCCCTGCCAGCCTGGCAATGCTTACCAGACGGCAGAGGCCAGCAGGACGCTGGAGTTGTTGCTGAAGTAGTCGATCACGGGCTCCCCGAGGAGCAGGTCAGCCAGGATGTAACTGCCGAAGCAGTGCAGCATGGCGCACAGCCAGGAGGCCACAGGGTGGCGCCGGGCCAGCTCCACTGCTCCTGGGAGGCCGGGGGACGAAGAGGGGATCGTAAAGTATTTGGCTTTTTCTGTGACTGGCTTATTTCATGTCCTCAAGGTTCATCCATGTTGTAGCATGTGTCAGAATTTCCTTTCTTTTTAAGGCTCAATAATATTCCAGACAGACACAGAGAAAGTGTGTGAATTCAACTGTGGACCTCGGAAAGATATATTGACCAGTCAGAGTGGCTCAGTTGGTTGATTAATGTCCCAGGCGCCAAAAGGTCACCAGTTCGATTCCTGGTTAGGACACAAGCCCAGGTTGTGGCCTTGATCCTCAGTAGGGGATGTGCAGGAGGCAGCTGATCAATGTTTCTCACATTGATATTTCTCTCCCTCTCTCTTCCTCTCTCTAAACATCAATAAAAACATTTTTTTAAAGTCCATATTCATAGCAGCATAATCATCAAAAGGTGGAAACATCCTCAGTGTCCATCAAATGATATATAGATACAAAATGTGACATACCCATATGATGGAACATTATTCAGCCTTGAAAAGAAATGAAGTTCTTATTGGAGTGATTACTATGCAAGGTAGATAAGTGTCTAGTCACTATATTGTACACATGAAAGTAATATAATATTGTATGTCAACTGTAATTGGAAAATAAATTAATTTAAAAAAAGAAATGAAGTTTTTTTTTTGGGGGGTGGGGGGAGAGAGAGAGAGAAACACTGATGTGAGACACATTGATTGGCTGCCTCCTGCACTCGTCCTGACCGCCTGGTGACTGAACCTGCAATGCAGGTACGTGACGTGCCCTTTGACCGGGAATCAAATCTTCAACCCTTCGGTGTGCAGGCCAATGCTCTAACCACTGGGCACATTGGCAGGAATGAAGTCTTGATAGATACTACAACATAGATAAGTCTTCAAAACATGCTAAGTGAAAGTAGCCAGACACAAAAAGCCATAAGACCATATATTGTATGATAACATTTATATGAAACTCGAGGCCCAGAGTGGGATTGAAATCGCACGAGGAGGCACTCCTGGGCTGGGGGGGGGGGGGGGGTAGAAGGCGCGAGACCTGTGCCACACCTGCGTATCACCAACTGTTTGTTGTGTCTGCTGGGGTGGGGGCAGGCACTCCTGTGTGTTGTGTCTCCACTCTGGCCCACCCCCACCTAGCCTCCCCTAGGCCGATGGGCCTGAAGGCGGCATGCCCATCTGCCTGCACAACTCCTCTTGAGAGGTCGTGACGCCTGACTAATTAGCATATTCCCTGTTTATATAAATAGGGAATGTCCAGAGCAGGCAAATCCATAGAGACAGAAGGCAAATTAGTGCTTGGCAGGGGCTGGGGGCGGGGTTATGGGGAGTGGCAGTTGGTAGCAATGGGATTTCCTTTTGGAGTGATGAAAATGTCCTAAAAGTTATACATTACATGTAGATGGAAATACAGAGGTGGGCAAAGTAGGTTTAGAGATATTAGTACACAAAACAGTTTATTCTTGTACTGTTATTTATCAATCATTGTATTGTTTATTTGCATTAGCAATGTAAATCTGCTTTTGCCCACCGTTGTATATGACATGCCCTTTTGCATGTGTCTTTTTCACTGAGCACAATATTTTTAAAAGTAATATTCATTTTTTACCATTGTATAATGTTCCATCATAGAACTAGATCACAAGTTATTTAACCATTCCCTTGCATGCACTACATTTTATGAGAAAGCATGCCTAATAAAAGATGTCTTAGAGTAAGTCATCAACACCCTTCCCTTCCTCTTTGCCATCCCCACCAACTAACCATGTGGTCTTGAACAAACTATTTTTTCTCTGTGTCCCTTTCCTTCTGTCAGGTGCCACCCCTTAATCCCTTCTTTGCTCGACTCCTAACTATGATTGGAACCAAATTTTCCCTCCTCAATCACACCATGTAGTTACTTGCACTATATGCACCTTTTCCCTGCCAGAGTATCCCAAAGTCTCAGTATTTAAGGATTTAGTTATAGGATTTAAGAAAGCAGAGTTCTCTTCTCGGGAGTGTCTATTTAAAACCCTGCCAGCTGAGAGCTAATCCTTCAGAGCAGCTGGTGGGGCCTTCAGGGACCACGTCAGGTGAGGCACCCATGTTTTGCAGAAATGGATACCTCTGTGTTTAAAAATAGCCCCCATCCCGGGGTTGAATTCTTCCCAGGGTCTTTTGGGTGCCCTCTGGGCTATCCCAGGGACTGAGACTGGGGAGTAGGGGTGAGGACCTGGGTTTCGCAGGAGTAAAGCAGGTTCCATGTTTGTACCACGGTGAGTCCTAATTAAAATAAAGTCACACGCCTGGGTTTTTACTCTGCTGCTCACTCAGGCATGGCCTTGAGCAAATGAACCTCCAATCTGTTGAGGAGGTTCATTTGATTGAGCCTTTGTTCTGTGCACAGAAAGGTTGCAAGTTTGATTCCCAGTCAGTGCACATACCTGGTTTTCGGGTATGATTCCTAGTTGGGGAGCATATGGAAGACAACCAATAGATATTTCTCTCTCCCATTAATATTCTCTCTCTCTCTCTCTCTCTCTCTCTCTCTCTCTCTCTCTCTCTCTCTCTCTCCCTTCCTCCCTCCCTCCCTCCCTCTCTCTAAGCATGTTCTTGGGTGAGGATTAACAAAAAGAGAGATAGAGAGAATGAGAGTGCCCCATTCCTGGAGATGTATTGATTAATCAATACAGTGTGCATTATAATCATCATGTTTCTTTTTTTCTTTTTCTTTTTCATATATATTTTATTGATATTTCACAGAGAGGAGGAAGGGAGAGAGATAGAGAGTTAGAAACGTTGATGAGAGAGAAACATAGACCAGCTGCTTCTTGCACACCCCCTACCGGGGATGTGCCCACAACCAAGGTACATGCCCTTGACTGGAATCGAACCCGGGACCTTTCAGTCTGCAGACCGATGCTCTACCACTGAGCCAAACCGGTTTTGGCAATATTCTTCATATGTTTAGACCTCAGAATAAATAGCACCAATGAGGGGCAGTGCTGAAAATGCCCGGGGGACCTGCTAGCCCTTCCCTGCCATGGGACTGTCATGGAGCCCATCAGGGAGACCTGATCGGGTCTCCTCCTCCCTCTAAGGCAGAGCTGATTTTTATAAATCCATCCACTAGAATTTCCACCCACAGGTACTTTCCATTTCAGTTCAGTTCCAGGAATAACTCTCACGTAGTTACTAGGCACTAAGCAATTCTTTTCCTCATCACAGGCACACTGGGGTGACCAACTCAGCCAGGTTTGCCCAAGATAAGGATCCAAAGTCCCATGTCCCCGGAACTCTTAGGACCCAGGCAAACTGGGATAACCTAGACAGATTGAAGCCAGGAGAGGGGAGAACTCTGCTGGCAAACCTGGGGTGGAAACCTATATTTTGCTGCTTCTGGGTGCTATCCCCAAACCAAGGAGTGTGGCAAAGGGAAGGAGTTAGGGGGACTGTTTTCAGTCCCTGCCTTGCTATGGGTCTTCAGGGCAGGTTGTCTCCATCAACCTCAGTCTTCTCATCTGTAGCAAAGGGGAGACTGTTCTGTCCTTCCAGATTGCCAGGAGGGTATTGATAATGATAAGAAACATGATAGCCAAAATCAATAAAATATATATTTAAACATATGAAGAATTCTGACAGAATCTCTCAGCAACTCTAAATCCTCTTTTTTAGAGCCTTCGAGCAAAGCTCTCTGCCTCAGTTTCCTTTCTTGTAGGAGTTGGTAGTCCCTGCCTTGCAAGGTTGGAGATGAGCAGCCCTCTGCACTCAAAAAGCTTACAATTCAAACCAGAGATCAAGAAAGTGTTCTCTTAGCTCACACAGAATTGTTTTTTTAAATATGCTTTTATTGAGTTCAGAAAGAGGAAAGGAGAGGGAGAAAGAGAGAGAAAAACATCAATGATGAGAGAGAACCATTGCTTGGCTGCCTCCTGCATGCCCCCTACTGGGGATTGAGCCTGAAACCTGAGCATGTGCCCTGATGGGGAATGGAACTTCAATCTCCTGGTTCATGGGTTGATGCTCAACCACTGAGCCACACTGGCTTGGTACCCACACAGAATTTTTTAAATGTTCAAACTGCAGCCAAGATGTCCTTCAATAATTTAATAACTAAACTGTAGTATATCCATACCATGGAATATTATTTAACAGTAAAAAGAAATGACCTATCAAGCCACAAAAAGATGTGGAGGAACCCTAAATGCATATTACTGAGAGAAGCCAGTCTGAAAAGGATACTGATTGCATGAGTCTGACAATCTGGGGAAGGTAGAACTATGGAGACAGTAAAAAGACCAGAGGTTGCCTGGCTGGTGTGGCTCAGAGGTTGAGCATCAACCCATGAACCAGAAGGTCACTGTTTGATTCTCAGTCAGGGCAAATGCCCGAGATTTGGCTCCATCCCCAGTAGGGGACGTGCAGGAGGCAGCCGAGCAATGATTCTCATCATTGATGTTTCTATCGCTCTCTCCCTTCCTTTCTCTGAAATCAACAAAAACATATTTAAAAAAGAAAAAAGATCAGAGATTGGTGGGTGTTCCAGGATGAGGGTAGGGGAGAGTAATGAACAGGTGGAACACAGGGGATTTTTAAGGCAGTAAAACAATTCCGTATGATACTATAATGGTGAGTACATGTCATTATACATTTGCCAAAATTCATAAATGTACACCACCAAAGACTCCTAATGTAAACTATAGACTGATTGATGTTGTCAACCTACGATAATAATTACATGATAATAACAATGTTGATAATTATGTTGGTTTATTAATTGTAACAAATGTACCACTCTGATGGAGAATGTTGATGGTGGGAAAGGCTATGTGTATGTGATGGGGGTGGTCAGTAATATATAGAAACTGTCATTTCAGATTAATTTTTATCTAGATCTAAAATGGCTCTAGAAATAGTCTATTACTTTAAATAAAAGAAAACAAGAAGAAAAAAAAAAGTGTTCCAATAGCCAAATCACATTTCCTGCTTCCCTGGAAAAACCAGTTCTGATGGTTCCAGCCCCAACCAGGTGGAGAAGGGCCTGACTGGATCTCACCTGGGCACGGTCCTCACAGCTGGTTTATTGCTTCCCATCTGTCACCTGCCTGGTCCTCCATAGCACTGGAGGTTGAGATTCAGTCTAGATCAATGGTTCTCAACTGAAAGCAAATATTTGGGACACTGGCAATGTATGGGGACAGTGTTGGTTGTCACAGTGGATAGAACTATGGAGGCAGTAAAATGATCAGCAGTGCCCTGACCGGTTTGGCTCAGTGAATAGTGTTGGACTGCGGACTGAGAGGTCCCATAGACTGGGCGGTATGCAGGAGGCAGCTAATCAGTTTCTCTCTCATCGATGTTTTTAACTCTCTCTTCCTCTCTGTAAAAAATCAATAAAATATATTTTAAAAAAAGAAAAAGAAAAGAAAAGATCAGCAGCTAGTGGGCAGAGGCCAGGGATGCTATAAAACACCCTGAAATACAGAACTGCCCTCACCTCAGAGAATGGTCTGGTTCTCACCATCAATAGTGCTGAGGGTGGGAAAACTGGTGGAGGGACCTAGGTCTCATGTGGGGAACCTTAAAACACCCGAAACTAATATAATATTATAACTGAAAAATACATTTTAGAAAATATTTAAATGGTGTGATAAGTAACTGCTCTATAGAAAGTAAAATACTGATGCTGGTGCTACCCCCAGAGATTCTGATTTAAATGATGGCAAGATGCTACCTAGATGATTTTTTATTTTTTTATTTTTTTCTGTATATATATATATTTTTTTCTCTTTTTTTAATTAAATTATTATCTGTGTACATATTTTAACATTGCCCCCCCCTCCCATACACACCCTTCCTCCCCAGAGTTTTATGTCCATTGGTTGTACTTATATGCATGTATACAAGTCCTTCGGTTGATCTATTATCTCCCCCAGATCTCCCCACCCTACCTGCTTGTGCTTTGACAGTCTGCTTGTGCTTTACTGTCTCTATATCTATCTTTTGGTTCATCAGTTTATAATGTTCTTTATTATCCATAAATGAGTGAGGTCATGTGGTGTTTCTCTTTCATTGATTGGCTTATTTCACTCAGCACGATGTTCTCCAATTCCATCCAGGTTGCTGCAAATGATGAGAATTTCTTCTTTTTTATGGCAGCATAGTATTCCATTGTGTAGATGTACCAAAGTTTTTTGATCCAATCATCTGCTGACGGACACCGAGGCTGTTTCCAAATTCTGGCTATTGTAGATTGTGCTGCTATGAACATAGGGGTGCATATATCCTTTCTGATTGGTGTTTCTAGTTTCTTGGGATATATTCCTAGGAGTGGGATTACTGGGTCAAATGGGAGTTACATTTTCAGTTTTTTGAGGAAACTCCACACTGTTCTCCACAGTGGTTGCACCAGTCTGCATTCCCACCAGCAGTGCACGAGGGTTCCTTTTTCTCTGCAACCTCGCCAACACTTGTCGTTTGTTGATTTGTTGATGTTGGCCGTTCTAACAGGTGTGAGATGGTACTGCATTGTTGTTTTGATTTGCATCTCTCTGCCTAGATGATTTTTAAAAGTTCTCAAAGTGGGTCTAATCTGAGGACCACTGGTCTGAAAAGTTCTTTGGATGGGTCAGGCCTAAGGTAACCAGGATTATAATTCCTTCCTTCCTTCCTTCCTTCCTTCCTTCCTTCCTTCCTTCCTTCCTTCCTTCCTTCCTTCCTTCCTTCCTTCCTTCCATAATGTGGGCAACAGCCAGCATCCACTGCTTCCTCCTGTCTTCTTGCATAGAGCTGGGGGTCCTGGAAGTGAGCCAGACCCACACCCCAGCCCCAGGAAGCAAGTCTTGGTTTAATAAGGAGCCTCAGTCAAGCTAGTGTTGCTCAGTGGTTGAGTGTTGGCCTATGAACCAAGAGATCATAGTTCAATTCCGAGTCAAGACACATGCCCTACGCCAGTGGAGGTATGTAGGAGGCAGCTGATCAATGATTCTCTCTCATTATTAATGCTTCTCTCTCTTTCTCCCTCTCCCTTCCTCTCTTTGAAATCAATAAAAAACAAAACAAAACCTTTTTTTTTTTTTAAAGGAGCTCCAGCCTCTTACAGTTCCTATCACTTCTCAAATGTTAGTGTGCTTAAGGAGATCTTATTCAAATGCATGTCTGGGTCAGAGGTGCGCCTGGCATTCTGCATTTCTAAACCAGCTCCCAGGGGACACAGATGCTGTTCACTTGAGGACCACACTGTCAGCTTCATCTTCATTCTCAGGAAAGCCTGACCCAGAAAATGCCTGCATCCCAGAAACATATTCCCTCACCGCCTCAAAAACAATTGTAAGTACCTTTCTCAAGTGCCTTAGACCCTGCCATTGGCAAAGTTCTCAATAGATCGTACAACAGCTGGGAAAGGGAGTCCAGGATTATTTTACCAATGCACCCATTTCACAGATGAGCAAACTGAAGCTCATAGAGACTAAGTAAGCAGCCTGTGCTAGAGGCAGAACCACTCCCAATTTGGAGATTGTTTCCTTAAAGGTGGCCGGCTCTCATCTTTGAGAGCGCTACCTTTGCAATTACCCAGGACCTGGTGCTCAGAGGACCTGCATTCAGTTTCATGTTCTGATGTCACTGTCTAGAGATTCTTAATTTCTGAAGGGATTCTGCAAATTCTAACCTGCTCCTGCAAACTGTACATGGATTCTGAGTAGAGCTCTTTACAAAGAGCTCAGCAGAACCACCAAATCGGGGACGGGGATCATGAGGGGAGGGGGTAAGACTAACAGCAAAGTCCAACACCTTGCTTTTCCAAGGGGAAGCAGCACCAGCATCTACCAGCCATAGGACCAGAGGCTCATGGCGTATGTAAATTAGCTTCGCCCCTTTCCTATTTCCCCAGTTACCAAAGGAGGAAGTTGTACTGGGCGAGGGCTATGTGTTCTCAACCTTGACAGTAGACAGCAATCACTGGGGGAAGGGAACTTCAAACAGGAGGATACAGAGCCCCTCCAGATATTCTGAGTCAATTGGAGGGTTTGAGGGCCCCCAGGAGGCTCAAAGGTGCAGCTAGGGCTGAGAACCACTGAACCCTCTCAACCTTCAGGAACCTTCAAACTTCTAGTTCAGAGGACTTACACTGTGACTCCAGTAGGACTGTCCTGACTCCTCCTGCATCCTCCCAGCCAGCCTGGAGACCCCCTCTCCTCCAGACACCTGTGTCCTACATTTCTGAGATTCCCTTAGGTGTGCTGGGTTCTGAACTCACCTTGAGACTGGCTCGAGCCTCCAGGAATTCATCCCTATTTAGGAAATACAGTCCCGTGGTCATGCTACGACAACACAAAGCTTATTTTGCTTTGCAAAGTAACTGCTCTATAGAAAAGCTTAAAAAAAAAAACACAGTCTCTGGCCTGTGGACTGGCAACAATAAAACGGAACAAAAACATTTGGCAAGCAGAGTGCGACACTCTTTGCATAAGATCGTGGCTGGGTTTACGTTCATAACTGGGGGTTAAAAGTGCAGAGAAGGGAGGTCTGGAAGGGTGGTCACCACATCAACTGTAATTCCCTCTTTTTTCCTTTGTGCTTTTCGGCTTGATTTTAAAATAAACAGGAGCACCTATTTTTATCTTAAAAAAAAAAAAAAACACACACACACACTATTTCCATTCCAAGAGAGACTATGGGATAATTTACATCTAAGTGGGAGAAAGGGTCACAAAGTTTTGGGTGATTAATCCTTTTTCTAAAGCTAAATTCCACCGTCCATTTAGTTTGCCGGTGTAACCAAAATAATTAAAATACTAGGAGAACAATAACTAGTCCCTGAGCCTTGGATAAAAATAGAACACATTCTGTGGAAGCCATTTATCCTCATTTCAAAAATGGTGTGTGTGTGTGTGTGTGTGTGTGTGTGTGTGTGTGAGTATGTTTAAATATGAGAAGCTGGGCCTTCCCTCTGCGATTCTCCATGGGCTGGAGCTGGTGGGAGAAGGCTGACCCCAAATTACCCCACCCCAGGGCCGGTGGCGCTCAGTCTGTGGAAAGGATGGGGGCCGGAGCTGGGAGAATTCCGCAGGGAGCAGAGATCCAGCGCAGCCTCCCTGGGGGGCAGGCAGGGCAGGGAGCCCCAGAGCGGCAGCGGGGAGGGGGCACCGGTGTCACTTTCTCTGAAACTGACCCCGGCACGACCGGCCCTAATATAGACACTCAGCTGCCGCTCCGGCTCCCGAGCCAAGGGCAAGGAGGGAGGTCACCGCTGCGGGCGGCCAAGACATCTGGCCTAGCCTGCAGCGCCCACCCCACTGCCCCCTCACCACGACTGCGCCCCTGACCCAACTTCATGCGCCCCTGCCCTACTAGACCCTGCCCTGACCTCTCTCCTGCAAACTCCCAACACCTGTTCCTCCAACTTCCCTCCTGCCCCCACCTCTGCCCCTCCCCCAGCCCTAACACCTCCTAGCCCTCCCTCCCGTTTCTCCACGGTTCTCCCACCCGGTATGGGAGAACCCCATGATCCCAGCGCCTGCCTGCGCTCCCGAACCAGGCTCCCGGCTCCCGTCCCCCACCACGACCCCGGACTCACTGCCCCTTCTGGCCCCCGCCCCGCCGCCAGCCCCCTCCAGCCTCCGCCGCGCTCACCTGGCTCATACTTGAGGTAGAGGATGGAGACGATGAAGTAGCTGAGGTCGAAGACGGGGAAGAGCGGCACCCGGGAGAAGCTGAGCGCCAGCTCGCCCAGGCTCAGCGCCGACAGCAGCTCCATGGCGCACGCCGGGTCCCACCCCAGCCCCCGGCCCGGTGCGTCCCGCCGCCCACGAACCCGCCACTGCGGCCCCCCCTCTCCGGCTGCCGGGCCCGCCCACCCCGCCAGGCACCGCCCCCAACCCGAAAGGAGGGGCGACAGCTGTCCCGGGCCGTCCTGGCCCAGGCAGCCCGGCCGGTCAGGTGTCCCCAATCTGTCCCTCCTCTGAGCCTTCACCACTCCATTCAGCCCAGCGAGGCGGGTGCTGGTCTCTGTGGAGCTGGGCAGGGGAGCGGTCCATTCGGGGAGAGGGGCCCCTCACGCACGGAGCCCACCTAGTAGGTGGGACGGACCCGTCAGAACCGCGTCCAGGTGGTGCTGATGAGGACCCACGTCCTCTGTGGCGCCCTCGAGTCGGGACCTCCAACCCTCGTGGGGCCTGATCAGTGGAGAACCCCATTCCCCCGTGCCTCAGAGGGTCCCTATAGTCAGGACTTCGTCCTCTATGCAGCTTCCATGTGACTCCGTACATTATGCCCTCCGTCCCCCACAGGGACCTCCGTCCTCCAAAGGGACCGCTCAGGAGGGATCCCCCGCCACAGGTAGTGGGGATCCGCGTCTCTCATGGGGCCCGGGAGGACCCTCCCCAGTCAGTCAGTCGGGGCGTCCGTGCCTGCACAACCCACTGCGTCAGGACCCATTCCTCTGTGTTGCTCCGTGGTCTTGGCGTCGTTTCTCCAGAAGCCCCATCCGAGATTCCGTTCCGGAAGATAAAGCCGGGAGTCGAGAGCCCAGCGCGAGGTACCCCTGTGCGGCACGCCTCCCGAGTGACCTAATCCCATCCCAGATGGCCCCGCCCGCAGATGGCGTCACACGGCCGCCCAGCCCCTCTCCGCCGCGCTCCCGGCCTCTCCAGCTGGTACAGGCGCTTCCTCTTCCCTAAGAGGGGCGGGCCTGCCAAGGGCGGGACCCTGCCCGCCTTGGCCTTCGATTGGCTCAGCCCTCGCCAGCGCTGCTTCACAATTGGTCGTCTCCTGTTCCTCTCCCCGCCCTCCCTAGACTCCCGCTTCCGGTTCTGTGGGACGCTGCGGCCGTGAAGATGATCGGAGACATCCTGCTCTTCGGGTAATTAAGGGGACTAGAGGCCGGGGAAGTAGGGCCCGACAGGGTTGGGGGCGGCCTAGGTAACTGCATTCTTCCTCCGCAGAACGCTGCTGATGAACGCCGGAGCGGTGCTCAACTTTAAGCTGTGAGTAGGCCGCGAAGGACCGCTGCTCCACCCGGGCACCCGTAGCCCGCCCCCGCGAGCGTGAGCCAGCCCCGCGCCGCAGGCCCTGCACCCAAGTCCCAGCCAACCCTCTGAACCGGTTTGCAGCCTGGTCCTTGCCCCTGCGATTTTTGGCGCCACCGCGGCTTGAAATTTTGGCTCTCCGTTCTCCGGGCATCCCTCTGCTCCACCCCGAAGATCCCAAGCCCATCCCCCAGGAAACTCTTAGTCCTAACCTGTATCCACGGGTTACCTTCTCCACTTTGTCGATGGCTATAATTGGTGGGGCAGGTGGGCGCCTAGAGAGGGTCAATGAACCGCCGATGTCTCACTGCAAGTCAGCGATAGAGCTGAGTGTGGCCCCGATGCCAGGGACTGAGCGGTCCTTGGATCCTATCGAAAGTGGACACTGACTGCTTCTCTTTGTAGGAAAAAGAAGGACACGCATGGCTTTGGGGAGGAGTCCAGGGAGCCTAGCACAGGTAAAGCCTCCTTTCTGGACTCGGGAATTGGTCCAGAGAGGACAGTTCTTTCTCAGGTCCTACCCGTTTTCTGCCTCTCTGTGTGTGTGTTTGTGTGTGTCTCCATTTTATGCGTGTGTGTGTGTGTGTGTGTGTGTGTGTGAGAGAGAGAGAGAGAGAGAGAGAGAGAGAGAGAGAGAGAGAGAGGCGTGGGCACAAGGATGTGATGTTCCTCTTGCCCACTTGTCACCCACTTCTTTTTCCTGCCAGATCTCCGTGCATAGGTTAGCACTCATAACTCCCTACAGTTATTATTTTTCTTTATATGTATTTTGTCATCTGGATAACTTCTACCCCTCACACTTGACCTTAAGCACCAGAGAAGAGACTCCACGCATTTAGCTCTTTCCTGCTGGGTGCTTGTTTAGTATTTGTTGGGTCCCCCCCCCTCCCCCCCCCTCGCGCGAGCTCCTTAGGGGGCAGGGACACCTGTCTGTTCTTCCCTGTGTCTCTCACACTAGGCTCCTGCCTGGAGCCAGTGGCCTTAATCAGCATCTGTTGATGGCAGGAGAGCCCATTTACATGATCCTCAGTTTAGAGAAGGGCCTTGCCAAGCAGTGCCACTCAGACATCCTTTGGACAGACCCGTCTCTGACCATTGAAGCCCATGCTAAGTCATATAGGCTGTGCCACACATGGCCAACTACATGCGGTGGGTAATACTGGCCAACAAGACTGTGCTGATCATGCACTAGGATGGCACAGCAGTACCACTAACAGGTGACTGTTGTCCTGGGTTGCTGCGAAGAGCTCCTCCCGGTATTTTGTTCTCACCAGAGAGCTGTGACCTCTAGATGACACTGGGTAGCACCCTCGTAGGTCTACTAACCTGGACCAGTTAATTTCATTCCGGAGGCTGGGGTTGCAGGTGGGTGGGGGAAAGTGACTCAAAACCCAAGAGGAAGGTTCTGGAACACAGGTCTCTGGAATCTTAATGTACCAAATGGCCTCCTCTTGGAGTTGTTTCTGTTTTTTGGCAATAGAGGGAACTAGGGTAACTTGTCACCAAAGCAGAACTGCTGTTATACTTGCCCAAATTAGTATGCTCTTTGTTGCAAACCCTAAAATCCCATCTCAGAATGGTTAAAGCAAAGTGAAACACTCAAGGATAGAATTGTCTTCAGGCATGCTTGATGTAGGACTCAAAGCAGCCCCCCAGCATGTGGCTGTCTCTAGCTCTCTTTTCCCTTTTAGGTGGTTTTACCATCAGGCTGGCATGTGTGGGCAAAGATGACCCTAGAGCAGGGCTTGGCATATTTTTCTGTAAAGGGCCAGATTATAAATGTTTTTGGCTTTGCAGGCCATGCCATCTCTGGTGCTACAATTCAACTCTGCCATTGAAACAGGAGAGCAGCCATGGGCAGTATGTAAATGAACGGTCATAGCTTTGTTCAATAAAACATTTTTGACACTGAAATTTGAATTTCATGTAAGTTTTCTATCTCAAATACTCTATTACTTTTTCATTTTAACCATTAAGAAATATGAAAAACATCCTTAGCTCCTGGGTCACACGGAAATAGGTGGCAGGGGCTGGTTTCAGTTCCTGAGCCTACGTTGCCAATGCCTGTCCTAGAGGACTCTGCTATTATCTTTCAGCCCAGCCAGGAAGCCCGACAGAAAACAGTAGTTGGGGCAAAAGTCTCAGGGCTGACTCTCATTGGGCTATACATGAGTCACTTACTCTTTCTTGACCAATCAGAGGCTGGGAGATTGGACAGTGGCAGCCTGAGTGCTGAGGGTTAGGGAGCAGAAGAGACCCAAAGGAAAAACAGCTGCCACTATGGAGCATGAGGGCAGGGGGCTTGGGGTGGGCAGAAACTGCAGAAGCACCTGCAGCTGTGACAGCAGAAATGTTAGCAGTGCTTGAAAACATGCTTTCTGACTTTCCAGGTGACAACATCCGGGAATTCCTACTGAGCCTCAGGTACTTCCGAATCTTCATCGCCCTGTGGAATGTTTTCATGATGTTCTGCATGATCGTGTAAGTCTGGCCTGCCCTTCTCTTTCATTGTCATCCTCTGCGACATTCTCCAAAATGACCCGCCTGATAGTCATTCTCTGTCATGTCAGTCTATACTTGTTTTTTAAAAGTAAATTCTTATTGATATTAGAGAAGAAGGGAGAGGGAGAGAGACGGAGAGACAGAGAGACATTAAGTGATGAAAGAGAATCATTGCTTAGCTGCCTCCTGCATGCCCTACACTGGGATTGAGCTGGCAACCTGGGCATGTGCCCTGACTCGGAATCAAACCTTGACCTCCTGGTTCATAGGTCAATGCTTGGTCACTGAGCCACGCCGGCTGGGCTCCGTCTATACTTTGGTGTCATGCTTTCTGCTTTCAAGATAAGAACTCTCCAAGCTAGAGAGAAAACAGGTTTAAGCTATGTCACCATGGTCCAGGCTGGAGATTGGATTGAAATGTGGCATTCTCCAAGTCCTGGCTGTGCCTGCTGTGTCACCGGGAGCTGCCAAGAGATGCTTTCCCTGAGCCTGTGGCCTGCAGACCTCTTGCCAGCTCTGCTGTGCTTAATGTACATCTGGCATCTGTTAAGGTGAAAAATGTGGTTGGACAGCTAGTGTGCTTCTGGCTTCTGCTCTTGCTTACTGAAACCCAGCAGAAGTGTCTATTCAGACTTGACTTCTGTTTTTGTTCACTTAAAGAAGCTTTTGTTTGTTTTTATGCCCTTCTTTATTTTCTTCCTAGGCTAAAAAAAAATCCAGTATGTTTGGTTTTCCTTCCAGCCTCAGGCTGTAAGTCTAATACTGCTCTTAATGAATTGGGAGACGCGGAGTAAACAGACTCAGGATTCAAACAGAAGAATCTGCAGTTCTAGGCCATGCTGGGCCCATGTTGTATGTTTCCCCCAAAGAAGAGAATGACTGATTGAAATGCCGAATTTGAAGTTGCTGGATGGTCCTCGTCGCTGATGACTGTTTCAGGAGATGTTTCTAGAACTTAGGCAGGGGTGAGGAACGTCTTTCCCGTGGGCCAGATAAGGGCCCCAAAATCATCTCGTCTGGCCCTGCCAAGGCATTAGCGATGAGTTAATTAAATGTTTGCCAAAAGCAGAATAATTGAAACAGGAGAGCAGCCATGGGCAATATGTAAATGAATGGTCATGGCTTTGTTCAATAACAAAGTTTTTAAATTGATAATTTTGTATGGCCCTTGAATTATGTTATAAATATCCAAATGGCCCTTGGCAGAAAAAAGTTTCCCCACCCCTGGCTTAAGGGATCGGAGAATCAGGGGGGCTCCCTGTGCCACTAGGAAAGGTTTTTAGAGCCCAGAATGAGGACCTTGATAGATATACAGAGAGGCCCTTTTTGGGAGCTTGGATGAGGCCTGCTCAGGTACAGAGAGGCTCCTGAAGAGAGAAGGAATTTGCAGAGGGTACAGGAGGTGTAACTAGGACTCATGGGAAAAGAACACTGGAGAAGGCAGTCAGGAAGAGGCTCTTTGATAGTATGCTGTTTAAATCAAGAACACAGGGACCTGGCCAGGTAGCTCAGCTGGTTATAGCATCATCCTGATATCCAAGGTTGTGTGTTCGATCCCCAGTCAAGGCAAGTATAGGAGTCAACCAATGAATGCATAGATGGGTAGAACAAATCAGTGTTTCTCTCTCCCTTATTCTCTCACTAAAATCAATAAAAGTGAAAATAAAAATAAATCATGAGCAACAGAAGTCCAATTTGCTGAGCTAGGGAGAGACGTGGTAGGGTTCCGCACTAGAAGCAGCATGAACAAAGGCCCTGGGGCAGGGAAGGACTTGGTGTGTTTTTGTCATTCTGTTCTTTTCTGTCATTGGCTTTATTGTCCTCTCTTGTCTGGCTAGCATCCTTCATTGCCATCTGATAATGAGCAGAAGGTTTAGCCTTAGGCTTTGTGATCTCGCAGCTCAGCTCAAGGCAAGCTAGTCAGTAGCCCAGTGTCCTGATTTCATTTCCTGGGAGCAAAGTCTAGTTGACCTATGTAGGTCATTCAGTTCTAGTTGGGTTGGAGGTTCCTGATTCTAGCCTAACAACTGAGGTTAGAGGTTAGCAAACAGCCCATCGGTCATATCTGCTTCCTATTTTCATGAATGAAGTTTTATTGTCGCACAGCCATGCCCACATTTGTGACAGACTGCCTGGACCCACAAAGCCTGAACTGCTTACTGTGTGGCCTTTTACAGAGTGTGCTGAACCCTAACCTAGGCCAGCTCTTCCTACAGGGGTCATGGGTGAGGGAAGATTCCCTCTAGAATGAGGTGTCAGGGAGACAGTGACTGGCTTTCCCAGGATATTAAAACACTGGAAATCACCTAAATGTCCAAGAACAGGGGAAGAATCAGGTAACTTAAAGGACACCCATGTGACCAACTGTCACAATGTCATCAGTGATAATGTACTAGAAGGGTATGTCTACACTGGGGAAATGTTTTGAGGGTAAGGAAGGCTTAGTATGTCACCTGCATGCATACTCTGGCTTCAGTTGTGACTTGCACCCAGTAAACGTTGAATAAGTGTTGAGTGCTGCTGAAGTCTGTGATGGAAATACTTCCAGCAAGGTAGTTGTAAGAATCTGCTCCAGACTTATGTATGGTTGTGACTGTAGCAGGATCAGAGGGATGATTTGCTATTCCATGCACCCACTTCTATATTGTTTGAGCTGGGCTACTTTGGAAATTTTAAAAAGTCATGGAAAACTTTAAATGTGGACAAAGGTGCCTGAATTTTTAGGAACCAAGGTACTGATATCTGCATCTTAGTTTGAAACCCATCAAAAGTAAGGTAGACAGACGAATAGATTGATGCACAATAAAGCAGAGTATTAATTGCAGATGTAAGTGGTGTGTATGTGGGTGTTCACTGAACTGTTTTTCTTTTTAACTCTTTTGAAATCTTCATAACAAAATATTGGAAGGAAGATAGGAAGAAAATGAAGGTGTCAAACCACAGAGAAAGATAAATAAGGAAAAAGTGGAAGTTGGCTTTCACAGTTCAAGATTTTTTAGTGCATTCACAAAGTTGTGCAAGCATCACTTTGGCCTCATTCTAGAATAAGTTCAGCAGCCCCAAAGGGAAGCTCCGTACCCATTAAGCAGTCGCTCCCGTTCGTTCTTCTCCCCAGCCTCTGGTGCCCACTGATATACTTTATGTCTCTACCGATTTGTCTGTTTTTTTTTAATCTTTATTGTTGAAAGTATTACCGTATTTTTCGGACCATAAGACACTCTGGACCATAAGATGCTCTGGACCATAAGACGCACCAGTTTTTAGAGAAGGGAAATGAAGAAAAAAAGATTCTGAAACAAATAGTGTCCTAAAATATTTTATGTGCATTAAACCCCAACGTCACAGTCATAAACACATGTAATCAACCATGTAAAGTAAACAGCAGCATTTAGAACCATTTTAGAGCCGGGCAAGCACACAGAGACCACACAGAGCCGGGCAAGTAAAAAAAACTTTTTTTTAAAAGTATATGTGTAGGCTATATTTGAACCATAAGACGCAGGGACTTTTCCCCCCCACTTCTGGGGGGGGAAAAAGTGCGTCTTATGGTCCGAAAAATACGGTACATGTCCCCTCCCCCCTCCCTGTTGTCTCCCTCCAACCCCTCCCCTTGCCCCCCACTCCAGGCCTTCACCATCTTATTGTCTGTGTCCACGGGTTATGCATCTATACATACAAGGTCTTTGGTTGATTACCTCCCACCCACCTACCCTCCCCCACCTTTCCTCAGATTCTGCACTCTGTTCCATGCTTCCATGTTTTTGGATCCACTCTGTTCAACAGTTTATTTTGTTAATTGTCTGTTCTTGATATTTCATATAAATGGAATCCTATAATATGTGGCCTTTTGTGTCTGGCTTTTTTCACGAGCATAATGTCTTCTGGTTTCTTCAATGTTGTACATGAATCAAGACTTCATTCCTTTCTATGGCTGAATAATAGTTTATTGTATGGATATGCCACAGTTTGTTCATTCACTCATCAGTTGGTGGATATTTGGATGTTTCCATTTTTTGGCTATTATGAATAATGCTGGCATGAACATTTGTTTTCAGTTCTCTGGTATATACTCATGAGTGAAATTGCTGGGTTATACAGTAACTCGTAACTCTGTATTAATCCTTTTGAGGAAACGCCAGGCTATTTTACAAAGTAGCTGCAGCGATTTACATTCCCACCAGCAGTGTGTGATGGTTTTAATTTCCCCACATCCTCGCCGAGGCTTGTTATGGTCAGACTGTTTTATTATGACCATCCTAGTAGATGTGAAGGTTGGTTTGCACTTCCTGATGGTTAATGACGTTGAGCATCTCTTCAGGTGCTATTGGCCGTCTGTGTATCTCTGGAGAACTGTCTGTTGAGACCCTTTGTTTTTCCTCCTGAGCAACCTGGTTTTCCCAGGGGAGAGGGGACAAGGAGGCCCTGCATGTAAAAGGAGGTGTTGGGCCCTGGCCAGGTGGCTCAGTTGGTTGGAGCATTGTCCTGTACACCAAAAGGTCGTGAGTTCAATTCCAGGTAAGGACACATACCTAGGTTTTGGTTTCACTACCTGGTTGGGGCATATAGGGGAGGCAACCAGTCAATGTTCCTCTCTCACAGAGTTGTTTCTCTTTCTCTCTTCACCTTCTTCTCTCTCTAAAATCAGTAAAATCAAATAGGTGAGGATTTTTTTTTTTTTTTAAGAAGAATGATATGAAGGTGTTGGGCCTCTCAGTTGTGAAGCATGACTGTGTTGGCAAGGAAGGACCTGATGGGGCAGAGGGAACTTGGTCTTGGAGTCCTTGACTGCTGGTTGGCAGCACTTGCTGGCCATGATCTCCATCTTCACGATCTGGATTGAGTGGGTGGGTTTGGGTACAGTGCTGGGTTCCCATGTCTCAGTAGCGCTGGGTGATGGTTCTGGTACTCTCGGTACATGTCGTGGGTACCACTGTGGGAATTTTAACTCAGCCAGATGCCAGAGTTGCCGTACTCCCCTTCCCCCCACCCCCCTCCCCCAAGAGAGGGTTTTTCAAACACCTGCCTACGGTGAACAATTTGCCCTGTAGATTTCTTCATCTTCTTCAGTTGCAAAATAAAGTACCAGATGTGGGACTTGGCACCAACATGGTTAGGTGGCAAGATGCTCGTGTGGTTGAGGAGCAGTGTGGCACTTAGGGGTGGGCAGGCAGCACCCCACCACCATGTGCTCTCAGAATGTGCCCAAGGCTTTCATAGCGTTCTTTTCCGGTTCACCACCTCCCACAGGAGCCTTTTGCTGATTTTTAAATTGGGTTTCACTAAGTTGTACCATAAGTTCTTTTGATATTCTAGCTACCAATCCCTTATCAGATACATGATTTGCAAGTATTTTCCCAATTTTTTGGGTTGTCTTTTTAATTTCTTGATGGTATCATTTGAAGCACAAAAATTTTTAGTTTTGATGAAGTCCAGTATCTTTTTTTCTTTTGTCACGAAGAATTTTATAGTTTTAATTTTATAATTAGGCCTATGTCCAGTTTGAGTTAATTTTTGTATGTGGTGTGGATAGAGATCCAACTTCATTCTTTGGTATGTGGCAATCCAATTGTTTCTAAACTACCATTGTTTTGTTTTTAATAATCTTTTTATTTTGGAAAAAATTTAGGTTTATAAAAATGTTGTAAAGATTATACAGAGAATTCATATATATATATACACACATATACATACATACACATATGTGTACATATATGTTATATATATACATACATGTGTGTATGTGTGTGTGTGTGTGTGTGTATATATATATAATATTTTTATTGATCTCAGAGAGTAATGGGGAGAGAGATCAAAACATCAATGATGAGAATCATTTATTGGCTGCCTCCTGCACGCCCCACACTGGGGATGGAGCCTGCAACCCTGCATGTGCCCCGACTGGGAATCAACTGTGATCTTCTGGTTCATAGGTTGATGCTCAACCACTGAGCCATGCCGGCTGGGCTATATATCTTTTATTTTTTAACTGATTTTTTTAGTTCACATAGTTAGACTTTTTTTTTTTAATCCTTACTCGAGAATATTTTTCTTTTTTCTTTTTTAATATATTTTATTGATCTTTTACAGAGAGGAAGGGAGAGAGATAGAGAGCTAGAAACGTCGATGAGAGAGAAACATCGACCAGCTGCCTCTTGCACACCCCCAACCGGGGATGTGCCCGCAACCAACGTACATGCCCTTGACCGGAATCGAACCTGGGACCCTTCAGTCCGCAGACCGATGATCTACCACTGAGCCAAACCGGCTTCGGCGAGAATATTTTTCCATTGATTTTTTAGAGGGAGGGAAAGAGAAAGAGAAAGAGAAATATTGATGTGAGAGAAATACATTGATTGGTTGCCTCCTGCATGCACCCCGACCAGGGCCCAAAATTGGGGAGGAGCCTGCAACCAAGGTGTATATACCTTGACCAGAATCGAACCCGGGACCCTTCGGTCCACAGGCCGATGTTGTATCCACTGAGCCAAACAGGCTACGGCTGGGCCATATATCTTTTTAACAGCTCTGTGGTTTTTTCCCCCAGTAGGCCTGTGTTGTAACCTACATACCCATTCCCAAACTTCAGAAATATTTATTACAGTTTCCAGGCCTTTCCCATTCCAGATTTTCTTCCGTGAACAGAGTTAACTGTAATCATTTGTTTATTCAAAGGTCTTTTTGATATGAAAGTTACCACTGACTTGCAATAATGGAGAATATGTGAAAATAAAATGTTGCAAATTTGTATGAAGTGGGTAATTCTTTAAAGTTACATTTTCTCTTAAGTGTATAGTTCGGTAGTGTTCACAGTGTTGTGTAACAGAAGAGTTACTTATAAGATCAGAAAATGATATAAAATAATCTTAAAAGCAACATAAAATATTTTCTAAAAATGTTTTCAGAGTGACAGCTTCCCATTCTCACGGACATTTCTGCCCTCTGAATTTTCCAGGCTGTTTGGCTCGTGAGCCCCAGATACTGAACCAGCAACCCACCTCCGATGCCAAGCCTCCCTCTGTTCCTGACAACTTCAAGAATGTTTTTGACTGGAAAACCGGTGACCTTCCCAGAAAGCCCAAGCTTGTGGTGGGTGAAAAAAACGTTCACCAAGATACACTTGGTGTCCTGGCCACATCGCTGTTGTTTTCTTAAAAAGACATTTTCATTTGGCCTCTGCATTGAAATGTTGTCTACTTAAGGAGTTTCAGGGGGGTTATGTAAGGGGCTGTGATCGCTTTGCCTTCCTTATAGAAAAGAGAACATGTCTGGATAGTGTTATTGGATCAGAATCCCTCTTCCAGTAAGCTTTCATTAGAAATGTTTCTATTGGCTATTTCTTGGTTTATTTTTAATAACCATCCCTTTTGGTTCGAATTACACATTTTTAGAAGTCATTTATTTCCAAGGATCTGACCCAGAAAGGTTGGCTTTTAAGTTTGATGCAGCCTCTTTATTAGACTTGGTGAATAGCAAAGTTCATTGTTGCTGGTCTGCGTTCAGTTCCTCCTCTGTCCCAGTAGGCGCTGCTTGGCCACTCAGTGTAGCTATCGCCCCTGGCACTTTAAGGGTGAAGTCTTATTGGTTCCTACGGGAGAAATGTGCAGAAGAGTTGGCAGGGGCAGGTGTCTTATGAGAAATTATGCCTTGCCTTGAAAGCCCTCTGTTAAAGGGACCGTTAATTGTACAATTTTTAGAGTGAGAGTGATTTGTGTGGTCATATTGGGACCTAGTTCTGAAAGCTTGGGGTGTGGGGGTCTGTTTTTCAAATGGGTGATTTCAAGGTTGGAACAACAATGAGCTTCCTTTGAGCATTTTGTATAGAAGCTTCTTTAAAAGAAAGTCCTGATTTAATTGCCAAAATGAAACGCTGGTGGTCAGTACTTGCATCCCATAGGTGTGTGTTTGTTGTGGGTGGGAGGAAAAAGCAAACACGCAGGCTTTTAGAACTAAATAGCATTGAAAATAAAGCTCATTTCCTAAAAGGACATTTTGTTACACATTTTTTAAATAAGAAGTTGTTTTCCCAGCTTGAGTCGTTTAGAATTAGGCTGTGGAAAACACTTAGGATTTATTTTGGAGCCTGTCAAAAAGAAATGATGTTCCCTTTTTAAAAATATATTTATTGATCTCAAAGAGTAAGGGGGCTGTACGTTTGTGTTTTTAAATCGCATATCATGGATGTTTAGGAAGCTTTTCAAGAACCCTAGCTGGTTTGGCTCAGTGGATAGAGTGTCAGCCTGTGGTACCAGGTTCAATTCCTGGTCAAGGGCACATCCCCAGGTTGCAGGCTCATCCCCACTAGGGGGCGTGCAGGAGGCAGCTGATCAATGATTCTCATGGATGTTTCTGTCTCTCCCCCTCCCTTCCTCTCTGAAATTAATAAAAAAAAATATATTTAAAAAAAGAACCCTCACTAGCACCAAAGCTTATCAGAGTTTGGATTTTGGATCATAGGATCCCATAGCATTTAAGTGCTCATGTTCAGTGTCATTTAGGTATGGATTCAAATCCCATCTCCATTCCTTGCCGGGGAGACCTTAGCTGATTGCTTCTCCTCCCTAAGCCTCAGTTTCCATATCTCTAAAAGGGGCTTAAAAGTCTTACCTACCTGGATTTGTTGGAAGGTTTCGTGCACTTGAATTTGGGCTGAGTGCTTGACTGAACGCCTGACACCTGGTAAACCCTCGATACCCTGAGTTTCCTCACTGCCGCATTTTATCTCTTGCCCAGGTTCATTCGTTCAGCCTAGACCTGCACCATGAGAGGGCCATCACAACAATTTTAAAATTTGGAAACAATTTCCAGCGTGGGAAATCTTTTCCCGTCTTCCCATTCCCTTTCCAGTGCTTTCCTATGCCTGTTGGTATATACCACATAGTTCTGATAGTGGGTTAGGCAGTTCCGCTCTGCTTTTCATTACTGCACCACTTCATATTTTCTGGACTGACAGAAAGGAAACCTTTTGCTTCCTCCACCCTTACCATCTTAAAAATGGAACATGTTCCTCGTTGTACTTCAGTTACAGCTGCTCTAGAGTACAAACTGGAAATCACCAAGTCCTGCTGCTTCTTTTTATAAATAAAGTTTTATTGGCATTCAGCCACCCCTCTTTGAGAATGTGTTGTCTATGGCTATTTTGTCTATTTTCCTGCTACAATGGGAGAGTTGCTGACAGACCATCTGGCCCACAGAGCTGAAAATGCTGGGTATCTGGCCTCTTTATAGGACAGATTTGCTAGCCCCTGAGCATGGGGATGATAGAGAATCAAGGTGCCCCTTTCCTCCAGTGCCACTCACGTGGAATCATTTGCCTGCCTTGTGATCTAGATTTTAATAAAGACATTTGCAAACATGTCTTTCAGCCTTGCTGGAACTTGAGCCAGCCATTTTTAGGTGATGTGGTTAATAGACGAAAACCCGGTTTTATGTCTTTCATTAGCTAGGGAAGAGGTCCCTCCTGGACTCCTGTGATTCTTCTGAGCAGCAGCTCAGTGTGATAATGAGATTGGCTCTCCTCTGAAGTGTTTAGATCTAAAAAGCCAGAAACTCATTAGTGAAGCATTTTCTTTTCATTTCAACCATTTCATTATTTCCTTAATCAAATTTAAGTTTATGAAATATTGACAAACCTCCTGATGTTTTCCTGTGTTGATGAAAGACGTAAGGTGTTTGTGAATAAACCAAAAGCATGTTATTTTTTTGAATGTAAATTTGATTTGGGGGTTTTCACCATTCCCTTCACTTACTTTCATTATTATGCAGAGGAAAGCCCTGACCCTGCTTTTAGCCCCTCTCTGGCACTTGAGCATCCCTGAAGTAAGTTTGGTACTGGCAGGTGTTCCTGGATGAGAAATCAAGCAAAAGTGTCTGTTGCAAATTAGAAATTCAAAGTCCATGTTTTTCAATAGAAGAATGGCAAGAATTAGTTCAGTGTGTGGCTCTTGGCTTGCTTTATTTTTCTTTTATTTCTTCCATCACCATTTATCCCTCCTGTGTCCTCTTCCACCTCCACCTATGTGGCTTTTAGGTTTGACTTCTACCAGATATCAGCAAACTGCTGCCCAGGTGTGGCCCACCACCTACCTTTTCACCGCCCATAAGAAAGGATGGTTTTTACTTTTGTAAATGGTTGGAAGGGAATTTAAGAAAATGAAAGGAAATCAAAGTTTCTTTGTTCATAAATAAAGTTTTATTGGAATGCTGCCATTAATGTATCATCAATGGCTGCTTTGGAGCTGCAAGGGCATAACTGAGCCCTTGTGACTGTCAGCAGAAGAAATGTCCAAACCTGTAAGAATTTTTTTAAAATAAGTTTTCTCATTAAAAAAAAAAAAAAAAAAAACTTTTTTTTTTTAATTTTTAAAATATATTTATTGATTTTTCACAGAGAGGAAGAGAGTGCGACAGATGGTTAGAAACATCGATGAGAGAGAAACATCCATCAGCTGTCTCTTGCACACCCCCTACTGGGGATGTGCCCTTGACCAGAATCGAACCTGGGACCCTTCAGTCCACAGGCTGACGCTCTATCCACTGAACCAAACCAGATTTGGCAAGAATTTTTTTATTTTGGTTTAAATGAGTTTAAACCAAACTGATGACAACTGCTGGGAAACAAAAGCTCAGTGGATTGAAAAAATGTTCTAGAGAATGGTTCTTTTGCATCTTATTTTATACATTAGAATCAAAGGAGAAGATGTAAGGGCATTCCATGAAATTCATTGGTGATAGATGAGGGAGGTGAGAGAAAGCAAAGCTGGGTGTGGGGCGTGGGAGGTGAATCTCTGGGATTGGCTAAAAGGTGAAAGGAATAGCCGGGACCGGTTTGGCTCAATGGATAGAGCGTCGGCTTGGGGATTGAAAGGTCCCAGGTTCGATTCCGGTCAAGGGCATGTACCTTGGTTGCGGGCATATCCCCGGTAGGGGGTGTGCAAGAGGCAGCTAATCGATGACTCTCTCTCATCGATGTTTCTAACTCTCTATCTCTCCCTTCCTCTCTGTACAAAATCAATAAAATATATTTAAAAAATAAATAAATAAATAAAAGGTGAAAGGAATAGACACACTTTTACATAGGTGGGTATAGGGTAGTTATGTCAATAACTATAACAATAATAATGAGAGTCTCTGTTATCTCCTGCTCTGTTGGGAGATTCTGTCTTGATGTGCCTGGAAAAAGGAAATTCTAAAGGTATGTTATCTTAGCTGCAGAAAGACTATAAAAGATTAAATCTTCAGTTAACCTTAAGATTTAATTTGCATTTCAGACCATCCTATGTGGTTAATTTCATTGTCTGAGCTTGTAAGGCCCACCATGCAGGCTTCCCTGGAGCTTGCATGTTTAGTATGTGGGCCCTTTTTCATCCACGGCACAGAGACTATCTGGCTTACAAAGCTGAACATTTACTGTTGACCCTTTACAGATTGGTTTACCAACCCCTGGAATAGACGGTTTAAAAGGTCCGGCCGGTGTTGCTCAGTGGTTGGGCATTGACCTATGAATCAAGAGGTCAAAGGTTCGATTCCTGGTCAGGACACCTGAGAACCCACAGGTTGAGAACTGCTAGCAGGGTTACCTAAGACCATTGGAAAACACAGATATTTACATTACGATTCATAACAGTACCAAATTGCAGTTATGAAGTAGCCACAAAAATAATTTTATGGTTGGGGGTCACCACAACATGAACTGTATTGAAGGGTCAAGGCATTAGAAAGGTTGAGAACCACTGTGTTAATACCAGTGTGGTTGGACCAGACCTGGCTTCAGCAACCTCTGTACTTGAGTTCTGGCTAGGAAAGAATTCAGAACCAAGACTCAAGCTATAAGAGAACATTTAGAAAATCTTAGAGGTACACAAAGTAATTCCGGGAAGAAATGGGTTGAGGAAACAAGTGATAAAGGCAAAGAAGGCCCTTGGAGCTTAAAAGTGAGGAAGGCAAAGGTGATGTGCCTGGGAGGGAAGGGGGAGGAAAAAGTGTGTGTGTGCTCCCGGAGGGACTGTGTACTGTGTTCTAGTCCTCATTCTTAAGGGTATTAAGGGTGGAGATTTTAGGGGAGGTTCCAGGAGAAGATCTCAATAGAATATTCAGCAGTTTTCCAGGTGTGTCCTTCCAGGACCCGGGTCTCCACTGATTGGTTGGTGCCAGGCCAGGGGTCATTATTCGATGCATCTGGTCCTGAGGTCAGCGGTGGTGTCACTTGTCTGGGTTTGCTGTGTTTCTGGGCCTGGAGCTGAAATATAGGGAGGAAAGATCAGAGTTATGCTAGGGGAGAAAATGTCACCCTGAGGACGAGGTCCCACCCAACAGCTGTCCTTCGCTAAGCTTTTGCTTTTTACCCTGGTGACCTTTTTTACCTGGCTCATCGCCCTTGCTCTGCTCACATCTGCCTGCCTGCCTACCACAGATGGAGGCCTGGCCTAGACAGAATGGATTCTGTCCTTTACAGAGTGCAGCATCGACTGGCCTCTCTGCACCTCCACATCCTCATCTGTGATATGGGACAGTGAAGGAGGAAGCTTTGACATGTGCCTCTAACCTGCCTGATGTGGGACAGGTGCTCAATAAGTGGTATTATTTTCATCGATGTCATTACTTTTATTAAAAGACACTCTTGACAGGGTTTTATGAGGCTTAAATGAGACAATGTCTTAGGCAGCTGGGGCTGCCATAACCAGATGTCACCGATTTGGTGGCTTATTTTCTCACATCTGGAGGCTGAAAGTATAATACAAGATCCAGGAGCCAGCAGGTTTAAGGTGAGGCCTCACTCCTCAGTTTGTAAACAGCTACCTTCTCACTGTGTCCTTATATGTCTTTCCTCTGCCTGTGTGTGTGTTCCTGGTGTTTCTGTTAAGAGGGTACCAGTGATGTTGGATCAGGGCCCACTCTGATGACCTCATTTAACCTTAGTTACCCTTTTAAAGGCTCTGTCTCCAAGTACAGTCCCATTGGGTGTTAGGACTCCCAGCATATGAATTTTGAGAGGACATATTCAGTCTATAACAGATGGCCAAGGTTCTGACCTATTCAGCAGCTGTTAGTTCATCTCCTTGGCCAATAGTAGGCTTCGAGGCATTACAGTTTTTTAAAACTCCATGTGGTCCAGAAAACTAACCCTGAGAACTGCTAACAAAGGAATTTGCCTCCTGATGTTCCATAGTAAAGTATTTCTGTGGATTGGATGGTGGCTTCCACCCTGGCGTCTGACTTTAATGACCCCATGAATTCCCTGGCGGTCTTGGTGAAGTATGGGTTGACTTAGCAGGTTGGAGGCACAGTTGTGATTCTGTATGTCTAACCAGCTCTCAGGGATTGTCCATGCTGCTGGTTCCCATGGTCTGCCTAATGCTGGCTGGTAGTGTGCAGGTTCTTGATTTTGTTCAGGGAAGGTTTCATAATATAAGTCCAGGTAACTTTTTAGAGGACAAGTATTTTCTTTTTTAATGGATTTTTAGAGAGAAAAGGAGGGAGGGAGGGAGGAAGGGACGAAGGGACATCAATGTGAGAAACATTGATCAGTTGCCTCCTGCATACACACCAACCAGGGATCAAACCCAAAACCTGGGTATGTGCCCTGACTGGGAATTGAACCCACCACCTTTTGGTGTATGGGCAGATGCTCCAACTCACTGAACCACACAAGCCAGGATTACAGACCTTTATTAAAACTGGGGACAGTGAAGCAAGAAAGAAGAAGCAACAGGAGAGAGAGTTTAAGTGAGAAAATGAGCTCAGACTGGGCTACTTTGGCTCACTAAGAAGTCAGAGAAAAATGGGACCTTGGGGTCAGGTTCTGGGGATTTGCCCAGATGAGCTGCCACTGCCCATTGCTCCCTGGTTGGGAGTCTCCTGGGGTCCTTAGAGTTTAGGAGATGCAGGACTATGGGGAAAGAAGAGGGAATTGGAGTCTCGAGCTTGGGCATGCTCCTGGGAGGGGGAACACAACCTGGGAACTTTGTTTTGAGGGTTTTTAAAAGCTGGAAGTTTAGGAGAGGATCAATAGAATAGTCATCAGTTTTATGTTGATGTGCCAGAATGAGATTTATTCCCTTAATTTCATCCTTGGTGTGGTTGGCACAATTGGCACTAATTGGG